AATAAATTCAGAGACAACAAATATAATTTCTCATGTCCACTGAATTCGACTAGTCAATGTTAGTTCGACTCATAAAATGATTGCATCTAAGAACTTAAACCGCCAAAAAGAATTTTAAAAAACTATTTACTACTAATAAAACGATATATAATATTTAAATATTTAAATTGCGGATAATATCTAGAAATAGCAATGTGAAAGACTTTAGTGTAAGCGCTCGTAGTCGGACCCGGGCGCCGGATTTCCCTCGGAATTGATAATTTTACGAGCGGTTTATTTTCCAAACTTCTCTGTCATAGCCACGTCCCAAAAAATTCTATTCAAATATTGCAAAGAGTGGAAATAATCTGCTCTATCCTTTGTTGGATCCTAATGTATACAAAAAAAAATTAAGAGTAAATCGTTAAAAACATCATTATCCCTATTACGTTCAATATTATGTTATCAAAATTAATAAAAAAAAAATAATTCTGTAATCTAAACGAAAATTGTTAAGAGAAAAGTTTTAATTGTTTACTTTGAAGATGTACTTAAACTTCTGAACCTATTTGATTTTTTTTAGTTTTTGAGAAGCTACACTATCTCCGGGTGGATATAGGCTATGTTTATTACTATATTTTTTAATTTCTTGCGTACGAAGTCGCGGCATCTGCTGCATTAGATAAAAGTTGTAACGTATTGAAGCTATCAACTTTGATGAATATTTTTTCTGAACAAAAATCTAGCCCCGTCATTTAATAAGGCATATTCATTAATAAAGCACTAACACATAAAACACATAACATACTCGTAAATACGCCACTCATGGCGGCAAATTAATTTCGTTTCATAAGCGACGCCTTACACTTCTAACGTGGTACATAAAATTTACATTGTATGTAAGTGTCTTAAGCGAAAGCTTCCCACTTAAAAGCTCTACAAATGCACTGAAAGCTCTTTCGCGCACTAATCCCAAACCTTTTAGCTGCAATCAAAAGCCCCGAGCGCTCGGCGGCGCGCGGCCGACGCGATGCTGTGGAAGCGGCTAGGAATTTAATTTACATTTTTAATTAAGTTAAATTTTGTTCGGAAAGCTTTCACGGAATAGGAGTTTTCTTGATTAGAGTTCAGCTCTGGCTGAAGTTTGAGATTGATTAGTGGAGCTTTAATTGCTCTCTGCTGGTGAATAATGAATTCGATCAGTGCGAGTCAGAAGGGACTGTCTAACAGATTACTTTGACCTTAATGGATCAAATTGTTGTTTCACTTAATTTGTTATAACAAAAGCAATTAAAATAATACTCATTATTAACATAACAACACTTTTGAAAACCTTCATATGAAAAGAAAATCATTTTTAAAAATAATTTTTTACTCTTCGAAGTAATGTCCACGTTATGTCTTTCGTATTGTGCGCTGTCGGTTGCCACGTAATTAATGGCTGGGGTGAATTTTAACGTAATGCTGTTTAATTGATCGTGTTGATAATGCAATAATAATGGAGATGTGAATTAATTTTCAACGCAAAATGGCTCTTATAACTTAGTAAAGGGTTTAATTTACAGCATTTCATAGCCCATTATAATATTTTTTAATTAGCTGACATAAATGGGATATTATTGATGTTTTGTAGTAGAGACCATTTTTACTGTGATATAAATAAATATATTTCTTATCTAAATGTTTAATTACCTGTAGTAATAAGCCATTGTATTTTAAACCCGGCCCGGTATTCGTAAGTATCCAAACAGATAGCTCCCTTTTAGTTACTGTTTCTTGAAACTACAACTAAACGATTCGTTCACCAAATATTCTAATCCAAATCCGTTAATGGATGTCTGTAAATCGATGCAGACACAAAAGGGCTTGCTGCAAGTGACATAAAAGCGAATAAATATGAGATTTCTGCGGAGCACTCACGGTGAGAACAAGTCGGGAACCGGTGACGTACGATTTCATATAGAATATTTTATTCGGGATCCCGTAGTCCGCTATACATTCCACTTATCCAGACTCTCTGTTGAATTTTTGACACGTTGGGGACGGACTAACCTTTTTGCGGCTTCTTTATTGTGACAACGCCCTTTAAATTCGGATTACACTTCTTAAATAACTCTAGGATGCAATAAGTTGTCCTTTAGGAACTAATCTGGAGTTTCTTTATGGAGTATCACTTTTATAAAGATGTGTCGCTTATAAAAATATATAAGAAAGCAGAGTATAAACTACGAAGTAAGTCATTTACTTTGTAAGATCACTGTGGATTACAGACCTTTATTTTTATGCTCCCTGTTTACAAATTATATATATTATACGATATTTCAAAGTTGTTATAATATTTAACCCTTCCTTCACTCTAACACTGAGCCACCGACGCTCTTACGGTAAAGGAAAACATCGTGATGCAACCTACACATATCTGAGAAGAAATTCAAAGATGTGTGAAGTCAACCAACCAGCACTTGGTCAGCGTGGTTGACTATGGCCTAATCACCCGTAACGTAGTGTAGGCTCCCAGCCCCTCGGTGGGAACGTATAGTGAGCTGATGATGATGAACTTTTAACTTAAAAAAACTTAATGCCTAAGTAACATATGTGTTCTTCTAGACTAAGTTCTACAACTATGTCAATTTTGGAGATACGTAATAACAAACATCCATCCATGCACGCGTGCAAACTTTCGCATTTTTAAATTTAATATGATAGCCACAATTTATTCTTTTTAAGTTATTTTCAATAAATTGACATTCATATTTGTTATTCAATTAAACTTTTCCATATCTGGCAAAATAAGGCTTTGGTAAGGTGACCTTTATTTGTTTATTACTTGCATCGTAAAGACAAATAAAGTAAAACAGACATAAAAAGAGACAATTACAAAATTCTTACATGTTATTATGAGTCTATATGTTATAAAAAAACAATCTATCTCTGAATGTCAAACGTAATTAAATTGAACTCTTTTGTGAATAACAATTTAATAAAATTCATTCGTATGAAATGCTATAAAAGGATATTAAATATCATTATAATACCATACATGCTTAATTGCTTCCCGTGTTTTATAATTCCAAATTGGCAAAGACGGGTGTCTCACGACCCAGCTGCGGCCCCCTCCCCCTGCTATCCCCCGTTTGCCAATCGTACCGAATCCGGCGCACGGCAATCCATATTAGATTTGCCCGTTCTCATATCCATTCTGAGATGTTCATATTTTATTGGGGGCCAATAAAACGGATTCATGAATATGAGAAATGCATAACGAATACCGTATTTATGGTTGGAGGCGTGCTCGGATGTGTCGCGGGTAATTTGATAGCCGCCTTTGTAACAGGTGCTGATGGGAATTTCGATGCGGTTGTAAAATATTTCCCGTCTCCAATTGAGTGCGATAGCGTTTTTATATCTTTTAACACATTTTATACAATTCTTTTATATTAAAATCGCTTGATGTTTGGCAAGATGATGTTGAATGCTTTCCGTGGTGAAAGAAAAATACCCAATCATTTGGCTTTCATAATTTCGAAGTTCCGATGGAATAATGTGGGTATCCACTAAATGTGTGTATATATGTAACGTGATTTCAAATTAGTTATTTAAATTTAATAAAATATTTGTTAATGGTGTATCACATTACTGAAACATTAATTTTTAATTCATTAAATTTTAATTTTATTCTTGAAAAATGTAAATTGTTAAAAAAATAAACTTTTGTAAGCTATATGTCAGAATTAATTATCATTCCATTTTCATTAAAGATACTTATCTACAAAGTTCAATATATCTATGGGAATATTAACGTTGGCAATTTAAATAAGATATATTAATACTAGCTGTCGCCCGCGACTCCGTCCGCGCGAAATTAAAAAAAAAAACATAATTAGTAGTAGCCTGTGTTCTTCCACGCTATGTTCTCTAAGTACGCCAAATTTCTTAGAGAACCGTTAGGCCGTCCTGGAGATACCTTCAAACAAACATCCATCTAAACATTTGCATTTATATTAGTAAGATTAGTAAGAAGGAAAAAGAACAAAAACTTGTTTATTAAATTGACCGTATTGAGACGACATCGATACGTGAGAAATATTAGCGTCTCCATAGAGTTTCAATTTACAGCATGCATGGACAATTCAACCTTTAAGGACCAAGTACAATCCATAAAAGCACGTTTATTCTTCACTTAAAGACCATTGTAAACTTTATATTATGTAGAATAAAGCTGAAATTACATAATCACTTTAAAGAGTAGTATAAAACATTCAAAAATAAGACCTTAGACTTTGAAATAAGGTCTATTATAAAGTAAACAGACGAATCAGTAATGCTGTTTGACGGTAGTTTGCCGTAGTAATAAGGTCTTGCGCGTAGTGGACGTGAGAAGAGGATATCGTTTATTCTAATGAGGTTACTTTGAGACGTCCGCTTTTACAATACATCTATTTGTAAAAAGATTTATTTTAGGTAAATAAATATTACATTTACGACTGTTTAATCAATTTTAGTTACCTGTTGAATAATTTACAGAAATAATTAATAACTTATCATACTTCTACATTATTTCCCACGAAACATGTTAGCATTCGTAAATGTCAAGTAAATAAAAATTAATTGCTCTTATTTTTATAAACATACTATTTTTAAATCAAGGTTTACTTTTCCAAAAATAGTTTATCCTTGAAGTTAATTAATGCAACAATATGGCGCCAGGTAATACGACATGTATTATTGACAACTTTATTTATAAATGTAAAAATAAATATATATTTAAAGTAATTATCATATACATGTTTATTAAAATTAATATGTAAAAAATCTCAACTTTAATAAATAAAGCCATATATGGTACAAAATGAGTACTGAAGCAGACTATTTTTGAAGGCTTAAACTTAATTAAATTTTCCTTAACTAATTATAAAACGTTATAAGCTGATATGAAAACAAATAAAACCAAACATAAAGTAATAAATAATACCAAATGCTATATTAATTCAAGGTGAAATTTATAATCTGTTTTATTCCAGGATCATTTTGGATGCGGGTGATGCGAGACTGATTGCACCATGATTCGCGATCCACCCGCCATGCATAAGCCCGACACCGCAGCCAGTAAGTCTAAATATTTAAAAAATAAAGCTTTGATAACCTTCAACTATATGAAATTCTCACGAAGAATGCGAATTGCATCTCCCTCATAAATATCGGTCAATCCCTTGATACGGGACAGGAATGGCAAACTGGTCACTGATCACATATTTTATTTTGCAGTACAAAAAAAACGTATGAATTAGTTGTGACTATGTTTAGTGGATATTATATGTAGAATAAACGCTAGTTAACTCCATAGACGTGCCAACATAATCTGTAGTCACAAAACTTTTTTTTTAAATAGCACGTACAAGTTTGAAGGTTTGCCATCCCTGATTTAGAAGGTCACAATGGAATAGACATAAATATGACTAATACTCATTCTTAAGTTGTCAGTCAGGCACAACTGACTTAAAAAGTTTATATTGTCATCTTACGAAATACAGTCGAACATGGATAAGCGAGAGTCTAAGGGACCGCGATATGTTTTTTGCTTATAGAGGTTTCACTACAACTCGAATTTTTCGGTTATGGAGGTCGACTGTCGGGACTAGACTATTATTATCCTTTATACAGATTACACGCTTATCCAGGTTGGACTGCACAAAATTTTAGCTTTTATGGAAAATATATATGTCAATAAATTCATATAAGCATTTATATAAATAAAATAAAAGTAAACTCCATCAATATATCCAAAATAATACAAAAATGGTTTGCTGATGTCAATTTTTTATAATATTAGGACAAACAGGCCGTGAATAAAACGCGGGAAGGGTTGTGTCATAAACCGACCGGCAGCGTCCGTCGCGATATTAAAAAAGGGGACGAACGATATTGCAATATCACATTTATGCGAAATGTCCAACACCCAGATAGTATTGATAAAAATAAGCGATTTTTTATTGTAGTACGCGTGTGTGTGCGTACAATAATAATTTGGACTTCAGCAGAAAAGCTAACGTTGTTGTAAAATATCACGTAACTTCAAATAACCTTCGATCAAATTCACTAATAAAGTCACGGCCTTCATTCTCGGTGATAAGAAAATAGAGATCATGGTGACGATTATAATTATTTTTGTATAGTTTTAGTAACCTAATAACTAAAGTTATTCTACGAAATTAAGCTACGAAAATTGTTTTAAAATATAACATTAAATGTATGAGGGTAAAATCAATAAAAGTTAACATAAAACGACACTTTTTCAATGAATAAATATATTTGATAGATTATAGATCTTGGCATAGGAAAACAAAACACAAGATACATAATCGTAAATAATGATACTTCAAAAAGGTCTCCCTTCTGGTTCTCGCGGCATTTTATGAGCCTTTATCATAATCAAAATCGTGTTTCACGTTATTACAGACATTAAGCTCATTCGAGAAAGTGGAAAATCTAATAACTAACGAGTTTCTTTGTAATATATTTTGAGCGGGTACTCGTATTGTTTTCACAGTGTAATACCGAGTTATTGGTAGAAATAAATCGGAGCCTTCCAATAAAAACCTAAATTGTTTTTGTTTAATATTCGAAAAATAAGACATTATTATTGAAGCTTTTAGTAGAAAAGGCTATAATGGATATGAGATCCAAGTTTAATTTGATATTGCACACAATAACTACGATCGTTGTATAATAAAAACAATTTAAAGTTTATATTTCCATGGTTTGAAATATGTTATTAATGTTTTATAAGATTTTATTTACTATTTATTTACTTATATTTGCTAGTTTCGCATTGTGTGTGCAAGCTGTTTGTATTTGGACAGTAAATTTAAAAAGCGTATATTGGAAGGGCAATCGAATGGTAAACACTTCCTGTTCATGACGGCCGGCGCGGCGCGGAGCGAGAAGGATTTCAATTTGTACAGTAATAACGCAACAAATTCACATGAGCGGCGAATGCACAAGCATGGCCGGAAAATTGCGGAGACAGTGGGCCGGGGCCCGCGGCGCTGGGCGGCCCTGATAAAATTTATGGCCACTTCCCCTTTAAAACAATATTGAGGGCTCAGTTGGGATTTATGTCTCGCCGCCGCTGCAGCGACTCAATTTATTCTTCAATTTTTCATACAATAACTCACATACGTATTACGAGTGATGGATGAAAAGGACTAACTTTCGGGCTTTAATAAGAGCCTCCAGATGCGAATCTCCAAATTGGTTGAAGTTTATTGCCCACTTATGTCAGGCTTAAGTTTCGCCTTGAGCCTTTCTCTCAGAAAATAATTTATGACGTAGATTGTCTCGACTCGGCAAAACTTCGACCCGGGTAATGTATTCACAATAAACTCAATACGTGGATCGAGTTATAAGACTTCATAAAATTCTTATGTAACGTTCTCTCGGAAATAATTCTTATATTCGCTTGTATTCATTGTATGAAGTAATAAAAAATACTTGAATATGTACGACAGCACGCAAATATTATGATCAATATAATTAGTATTACAGCTGAAAATCGGGAGACCTCTTTTTAATACCAAATGGCATGAAAAAACAGTTTTACCATGAATTTTCAGTTTCCTTAAGCTTATTGTAAATTCAAGCGCTAATAACCTTTCGTGCGTCCTTTTAAATTTTCATTAAATTATTTAATTAAAATTCCCTGTAAAAATGATATCTACTACATCTTAATACAAATAACCTTATTAAATCAACTTAATGTAAACATGAAATAATATAGTACAGTTCAGGCGACAAGTATTTGTTAATGGATAAATAAAGGTACAGTCGCGGTCATAAATGTTTATTGGTCGCAGTCTACAGCTCGATTAAAGACAAGTAGCATTTCAATTAATATATGAGAAACACGAATCTACCATTCAATAAAAATATAAACAACTTAATTATAGATTTTATGGATTCGAAAGTCTCAATAAAGGCTTATCTTTTTAATGATAGTTATAAAAGCAAACACGCAGCACTTTGAAAGTGTTTATTCAAGAATCGTAAGCATATAATTATATTAAAAGGGATAGATAAGTAATATAAATAGTGACGTATGTTAATTGTAATATTTCTTATGTTCCAATTATTGACGTATTGTTTGTTGGGTTGTTAAAAACACTACAGTACTATTAAGTACATAATTTCTAAGGGACATTTGATGACTTATTATTGTTCTTCTCTTCTTATATTTTATTATAAAGAGAGAGAAAAAATTTTGCCTTTAGATTTTTAGGCCTGTTTCGTTATCCGCTTTTATTTTTGTTAAAAGAAATATTTTGAGGCTTTTAATTTAGACCCCACGAGCACTCGTCGCCTGTAGACAATTACTTTTATCTACAATTTCCACAGCTAAAACCAATTAAGACACGGTATTCTGCCATAAAATAATTGAAATTTTAATTGCTCAAACAGAAAACTCTTTCTTTAGAAATCGTTTACCACTGCTATTAGGCTTAATTCAAAAATTAATTTAAACTTTCACAAGGTTGAGTCGGGGAAGCGAGCGCCGGCGTAAAGGCAATATCAATTTCATAATTTTAATTAAAAAAAAAACTAACTTCTCTGATGACAAAGTCTCATACTTTTTTAATAACGGAAATGTTAACGACGCTGGATTTCAGGCGAGCCTTTCAGCTGCACGGTGCGTTCCCACCGCTTTCCTAAGGGTCAGTTTTGCTTTGGTTTTAATATGAAACGAGACACTTTTAATATATGCTATTTAACTTTATAACGTATGTTACTACAAATAAAGTGACTTAATACGTAGAGCGAATGGTGAATCAATTTATTACAACTTGTACCGTTACGCGTAGGACTTTTGTGAAATACTCTTTCTTTAAATACTTACTAATTTTGACAAATATAATTGGTATAGTATATGTACATATTGTTGAATTTTCTTTATAAACAACTAGTTTTATTAAATTAAAAACGATGTTAATCGCAATGTAACATGTCATCGGTGTAGAAAGTGAGGCGATGTTAATTGCTTTTTTCACTCTTTATTAAAGCGAAACTCGTATTTGGTTAAATCTAATTGGAGCCCGCATAATGGATACGGCAACGGCGCAATTAACTCCATTGTTTAATGACTGACCGACTGCTAAAACTATACAAACTATAAAAGCATTTAGAATTGCCCCGGACACACTCTAATTATAAAATAACGCAAATGCATTAGTGTTGCATTAAACTTATAATGTAACGCGTTTAAATGTCGTGTAATAACTAATATCGGATTTATTGAACTATGTTTACCCAATAAAACAGCTAGTAATTGTTGTTTTTTTTTAATTTAGTAACATTATCTTAGCTTAAATGCATCATTTTATCCCCATCCTTTAATAATTTTACATAATAAAGTAAAATGTTTCTTTAGATTCTTCAGTAAAAGTCTTTGAACATTGACAATAGAACAAAAATAATAAAAATGTCAGTTCTAAACAAACGATCAGCACAATATTACACGAAACGTACACGTCCACATAATATAGCGATATGGGAAGGCCACGTTAATTGCAAAACGCAATGAACGATTGCAAATTGCACGGAATGATTGCGGCTCGGTCGTGATGCGGGTTCATTACAATAACCTGGCATTTAATTGAATCCGAGGAATGTTGCCTACTGTCGCCGACACGCGTGAATACTTGAAACTATACGGTTATACTCGACTAGAACTATTAAATACTCGGCATTGCCTAATGCGGCGCGCGTTAAATGATCCCCACGTCTTTTGTGGAAGCCCACTGTTCGCGCAAAAAATGTTTCAATGCAGAGTTATGTCTTTACTTACCTTATTGATTTAGATTAAAACAATTAATGGATTTATATGGTCAGGTCTGTGTACGTTTATGTCATTAATTGTGACGTGGTAGCCTGGAACATGTTCAATTTATTTGGATATATTTATGTCTATTAGTGGGATACAACGATTAATAGCGAAGATTGTAAAAGGACCCATATTTATGATACTTCAAAATAAGTGTTTTCATTAACTCGTTGTACTTGTTTTATGAATCGTCAAAAATATCTTTGTAGTATGCGTTTATCTTATACGCGATATGTTTATAGCTAAATAGCATTAAATAAGGATTCAGACACACTTCCACACCTCGACCGCACACATTGCATCCCATTGTCGCACCAAACAACTCCAAAATAAATTACTTTTTATCCATTCCCTGGTTTCTTTTCATTTCAGTGCCTTAATACGTTTGCGAGAACCGTCGGCGTGTGTTGGCAAAATTATACTGTCTTCGCAGTTCGGTAGCCAAGTCTCTATCAAATTCTCTCGGTGGTAATAAAAAGAAAATAATACGAAGCGGCTTCCCTCGCCGATATTAATACACGCTTCACGTTATTAACACGCCTTTTATTTTTTATTATCTGTATTACATTTCACATGAACGTATAGATCGCTTGCCAAAGCTCGAATTAAGATAGCTCGTAAAATTTAATTTGAAAACTGTCTGAACTCAATTATCTTAAATAGAAGTAAGGCTTATGGAAAGACTATACAAACTGAAAAAGACGTTATTAGAAATATGGCATTGGAAGTAGATTTTAATAAAAGATAACATTGCTTTTCTTAATTACTTCTTGTGATACATTTTTTTTAAAGTTGCAGCTTTGATCAAATAGACAAAGATTGAATAAAAAACAGAATAATGAGAGAACCTTAATTAAAACGTATACTCAAAGTACCTAGATGACCATTGCCGTCAATCTAGACCAGTCAATTAGTCCTTTTAAGTAAATTTAACTGACTTTGTTAACGATGTCCAAGAACAGGCAACAAAAACGAACAGTAAAGACAATAAAAATTAACAGGAATGAAATATTTAGGCCCTTTTACGGACTGTCCACATATTCCTTCCACAATCGTACAATTTAACACAAGTCTCCACTTAAGTCTATAGTTTTGTATTGGGAGAGACGCCTTGTATCGATACAATCAATCAAGTCGTTATAGCTCGCTGGATTCGCTCCATAACCACAGCACAAATAGCATGCGTAGCCAGAAATGGATAAAGCGCGTTGCAATCGCACGCACTACTTGCGGTTCTTGGGGAAACGGTGTAGTTGTTTTGATGTGGAGTTACAAAAAAACTCCTTGAGAACATTCATTGTTGTTAGTAAAGAACCTTATAGAGTTGTTATAAAGCATATTATTTAACGTTTGCATTTAAGTACGCGACTGTACCGCATGATCGATCCGCCATTATAACCGCAGCGTAATGAGTAAGCATCAATACATGGCATTAAATTACATTAGACTTAAAGCGTATCATTTCACTTTATGAGGTCTGGCTGCATTTTTGCCCGCTCTTATATTACAGTCAGATGTTTTTGTATATGTTGCACATTGATTTTGTAACTCTCTTGTGCAGGCCAAAATATTTATAATACTTTGTGGTTTAAGATCTTTATTTCTCAAAGAATTTACAAAATTCACTTACGAGAAACAATTTTACAAGAACATGAAAATTTTACCAGTAGTCAGACATTACATTTTACTGACAAATTTCTTTAATTTATTTTTAAATGATGACATGGTGTTTATAATACTTTAAAAATAAACAATACGAATGTGACGTTTTATATAATTAAAACAATATTTTAAATTTGATTAAGTGGTGGAAATAAGAGAAAGAGAATAATTATCATAAAACTTAATTTAAGTAAAGAAATTATTTTTCCTGATTTACATAGGTATTTAAAATAATGTCAATATTTATCTTTTTAAACTAAGATAAACAAATCAAATTATTTATTTTGTTAGAAATTAGATTAAGTAATTAATTCGGCTAAATCTCTTTAACGGTTCTGAAGATACCTTCTAACGTCTATTACATTATAGAGACGTTAAGAGGATGAAAGTAAAATGTAAATCTAATTGTAATGTTTAGAGCAAATTAATTATGTTGTTTAGCGATGCTTGCAGATTTATAGTTCCGCACATAACGATCTCGTAGGAGCGTGGGCGTGGGCGAGCGGGCTCCCCGCAGCGCGCTAATTGCCCACCGCGAAGCCCGCTCTACATCATCTTTATTATTTTATTATTAACGAACCGTCATTAATATAGTCCAATTAACTTTATTGTCGCGACGTCGGCTCCAATAAAGGAGACGTATCGGCCGGGCCGTGCTTCAGTGATCGATTGCAATGAGTTATGTCCACCTAGTTACCCCTTCAATTGGCTCCTCGATTGGTTGGACGTACGCGGCATTATTATGTGGACGTCGCTCCGATAAATTGGTACTGATTGTTTACTAACGCCAGTGTTTATTTTGTGCCGTGTATCGAATCATATGATTTCATCATACTTCGATTTTCCTTCTGACTTGTGTTTGCGGAAGACGTTTATTCTAGTATATAATTTATTTATATTGGATAACATTACGTCCACTTTATTTTCAATGTACATTATTGACATTAAGTATAGATTCCTTACTGTCTTACTATTATAAATGCGAAAGTTTAGATAGATGGATGTTTGTTAGAAGGTATTTCCGGAACAGGTTAACGGATGATGAAATTTGGCACAATAAAGAATATAGTCTAGAAGATAACAGGTCACTTATTCCACGCGAACGGAGTCATGGGCAACGGCTAGTATTATATAAACTATTACCAAACTATGTTGTGTTCAGTTTTCTTTTACACTTACATCACGTGATTAAAATAATAACGTTAGGATGTTAATGCATTCAGTCAGGTACATTTGCAATTATGAGGAGTTGTTAGAAATGTAATTAAACCTTTTAGAGCAACAAAGAGGCATAAAGTTTTATAGAACGTTGTTAATGTGTCTAACGTTATGGCGGTGCACGCAACACATTGTTGCTTTTTCCCCGCTTCAGAAGAATGCGTACGCGCATCTTAATAATGTCAGTTATAAGACTTAACGACTCGAGTTGCGCGTCTACTCGAATTAATTGATGCAATTACGAAGAAAACAATCGAGCGAGATTAATGCTATAAAGACAAGAATATTATAAACAAACAGACGTTGTGTAGCGAAACAGAATGCTAATAATACTTGATTAATATTATTATTTATCGCTACGTCGTTATATTTATACGAATATTAACATCGTAACAGATCAGACAGATAGTTTTAGCTCTTCATAATGAGTGCGGTCTGTGGTGGTTATTCATTAATTCTCAAATCGATTAATTGTGGTGTAAAATAATTTGTAATACGTTCGAAACATACTAAGGGTGCGTTTAATGTTTTATTTAATAATATAAATAATAATGGATTATCATATTTATTATATAACGTATCGTCGTGTCCAAAATTTTTACTATTCTTTTACCTCTGTACTTTAAACATATTTACGCGATGTCTGTTTATGTCTTATTGCTCCAACTTTTCCTTACATACCGGATGCGATCTCATTTTTCTTAAAGATTATTTTAATAGCGTCGTTACACCAATTAAATTGCGTTTACGTATTTATAACTTAACATCTAAGGCATAAGAATTTACAACTATTTTAAGGCTAAAATTATCTGATGATGTAAAATGTGAAGGTTAATAATTCTTAATAATCTTAAGCATTTCCGTACGTCATTTAATACGCAACGTTTTATATTGATTGGGAGTTTCAAGTAATCAAGTCTTAATTAGAACATTCGATATTTTTTATAGCAAATAAACATTCTTTTGCCTTATTTAAATTCTAACGGCTCGTTTAAGTGCTAATATCCGTTTGTTGCGATAACATATGTTCAATCTTAATACAGATTTATTCAGAATATATTTATTTACTATACGCGTTATAAACTCGAATATAAATAATGCATTAACTGTATATTAATCAAAGATAAAAGAAAACAAGGTAAAGTCTATAGCACGTAGATTATCATCACCATTTTTTTCTATTACTTTCGGAAATGTTTCTAATATTTATATTTAAAAGTTGTATTGGATGACGTATAAATAAATGGCCTACGACATACATATAAACATCCAAAAAGTTAAAAAAAATAACTCAAATCGACTAAAAATGTAATGTGAATATTTTGAAGAAACATTTCCAGAGCAAATGTTGTCAAACTTTTATTATAAATTATTTTTGTTTTACAGATCAGCAGGAAGAGAACAAATATACATTGAGCAATGTGTCCGGGACGACAGGGGGCGCGAGGCTGTGCGCTCAGTGCGGTAAGGTCATCACTGAGAGGTTCCTGCTGAAGGCCATGGAGAGGTTCTGGCACGAGGACTGCCTCAAGTGTGGCTGCTGTGATTGCCGGCTTGGCGAGGTCGGCTCCAAGCTGTACTACAAAGCTGATCTCATGCTCTGCAAGAGAGATTACCTTAGGTAAGTTTGCTTCAACCAAACTCTTTAGATATATATTTTTTTTAATAAAGCTTATATATTTTTAATAATCCATTGATCATCGTCATCATGTGATTTTTTGTAACATGAATAAAACTTTTTGTATAAAAATTCTCGGTATTTCACATCCGATATTCATTACGCAAAAACCTTTAATTAAGGTTTTTCCCATAAAACAGTTTCATGATCAGTACTCGAAACATGATATTAAGCTGTCCGTAATCATCGACGAAATCAACAGGGCTTAAACAGGAAATTGTTTACTCAAAATTTTGCTGCGGCGATCAATTATCCTTTGCTCATGTCCAACCCTATTATTGTGACCGTTATGTCACATGAAGTCTTATAGTACCGGTGCAATGGTACACGCAACGTATACTTATAATATTAAAATAATTACCCACAAACAACATGTGTTTCTCAACATTACTGGATACTAAGTTCATGTAGACTATAGTTGGGATAGCGAGTTTCCTAATGTCTTTTTGGAAGCCTTTGAAAGTTTTTGTTACTTATATACGCACCTCTTTGCTAAGGCATTAAATTGATAAAAACAATTTTCATTGAAACTGAATTTTAGATGATGGATATAAATATGCTTTTGACTCTTTATGTTTCTTCTTTTATTGTTATGTTTTCCTTCAATTCATATTTCAATAGTTTAAAAGCATTTAGCGTTTATATTTTTAAATTGGTCTTTATTTGTGATTGTACATTTTTCGTTTCTCTTATTTTTATTTTGGTTTGTAACAGGCTATTCGGTGCGACGGGCAATTGTGTAGCGTGCAACAAAGTCATTCCAGCCTTCGAGATGGTTATGCGAGCGAAGAGTTTTGTATACCATTTAGAATGTTTCGCCTGTCAACAATGCAATCACAGGTAAGCTTTAATATTTTCTACGAACTTTTACATGTAACATCTTTAGTATCTGAAGACGGGACATAAAGCAAAATGTTAACACGCTTCGCTAACGTTTGCGCTGACGGAACATGACTATCTATAGGGAAGTTTTTTGACTATTCGATCTGTAACTAATTTATTTAAATCACTTTGGTTTATAATATCGACTGAATATTATGATATACCTAACAATTGATATATGTGACCATAAAACTTTTTTGTGCAGGTTCTGCGTGGGCGACAGATTCTACCTGTGCGACAACAAGATACTGTGCGAGTACGACTACGAGGAGCGGCTGGTGTTCGCCAGCATGGCCGCCAATCCCAGCGGCCTCGCGCATATACGAAGACAAGTTAGTGGACTACAGGTATATTTACTTCTCTGTTTATCTTCTTTTAATTTTGATAATCTCCTTCCCTTTCAAGTACCACTTGAAGTGCCTCTACAACTAGCGAAGGTTGGTGTTCAGTTCTCCATATTTGGTTGTGATATGGAATGTTGACAAAGGATTATGAGGATAACATCGACTCTAACTAGAGTCTAGGCGAAGACATAGTAAAATCCAATTTGACCATCAACCATTTTGTTAGTAGGAACATGAATAGACAGAAAATGTTAAGAAAATACTTTATTGACAAGATCTGATGAGCGTAAGCGCTTTACCTTTATTTATCGCTAATTATATATTTTAAAATACAAAGAATTTTATATAAAGGTTATATAGGCGACAGACCTTTTTACTTTTACGTAAACGTACGTATGATAGAGCAGAATAACGATGCTGCGTTTTATGTGACGAGAACCGGAGATCCAATTACTGGTAACGAGGCGTTTCATCTTAGTTCTACAGGACGACAATGCTGCTATAACATATACGATAACATATATCTTAATATTCACAATGCCCGATATGAATATAGCTATAGCAATTATTTATACGCATTTACAAATCAACTTAACGAAATGTTGTAAACAAACTAACTTTAGTGAATATGTAGAGGTTTACAGAATGTCGGCGTTGATGTGAAATATTTATTTTTACTATACGCTGTTATTTTGTTGTTACCATAAAAAATTAAGTAATGAAGATGACATGACATGTAAGATCTTAAATATGTAGAGTTTATTTTTTTTTATTCAACGATGACAAAGTTAATAATAATTTTGAAAAATTCAGTAAAAATATAGATATAACATTTTCGACAAACAAAATACTACGATGCATTTTATTAATGAAAATGGCTAGGTGAAGAGTGGGTGGGGAGCAGGTAAATGTCGTTACGGCTTTTTATGAATAGAATGTGCGGATACTATTATTACAAGCGTTATCTTTTTGTGTGAGCTCTATCAGCATATGATCAGTATCACCAATAGGGTACACTTTGTTTTTTGGTAATTACAGAATAACCGTGTAATATCAAAAACAATTTATTAAAACAGCGTAATATAACTAAAACCGTTTGACATACTAGAGGCATGTCTAATCAGCTACGCACCGCATCAGCTTTGCAAATTATCTCCCAAACTATGTAATTATAACAGTGTTAGGTTTACAGGTCATGTGGAAAGATTTTAATTAATTCGCGGCTTATAATTATCGATTGAATTTCAAAAATAGAACAACGATGCTACAAAGCTTTTTAATGGATAACATATTGTCTGTTCTCACAATATCGTTGCTAGCTTATAAAGTTCTTTCCGATAATTACTTTCCTCTGACGTGTACCAATGCTGTTTGTGGGAGTAGAAACACGTTTTCTGAGTTTGTTGTCGCGTTTATACTAAATTACTATAATGCATCCTCACGATGCTTACGAGAAGCATCAAGTCGACGTTATTATTCGAATATTATCGATTTTACACAGATTCGGATATTAAAACAAAATATACGCCTTGTTACGTACTATAAGTGTCGATATATTTTTACACGTAAGAACTTTAAGAAAAGACCGACTTAAATAAAAATTAACTAAAACAATATGGGTTTTTCTTATATCTTCTTTTCTCGGGAAAAACTAACAAAATTTACCTGAAATCTAAATTCTGTTTGAATCCACAATGGCTGAATGGCATGATCTATAAGTAACCTTTTGTTTGGATTGAAGCGATTTATTCTATCATTCTTTAAAACCATTTTATTTGATATGGTTTTACATTTCAAGTGTTCTCGTTCTAAATAAAGGGCACGCGAAAAAGTCGACTCAGCGAAGTAAATAAGTCCCGCAAGGACACTGTTAGTGGAAGATTCTATCTCCACTTTATTATGTTTCTTTTGTGATCATTAATCTTTCTCGTACGAACGCTTGTCGGAATGCGAATGTGGGGGAATCTATTTCATTTTATGAGCCGCGCGAGTGGAGGGAACCCATTCAGCCGCACGACATTTCTAATCGACTTTTTGATTGCGCTCACGGTCTACTGTTGGGAGATCGCACAGAGAATTGCCAACATCCAAAATCGAATTACCCATATTTGCGTTTTTTTGTTTTTTTTTATGACATTTCCCTAGCGGGCGTAAAATATGTTGTCAATAAAACCGTAGGAATATGAACATGTCCCAAAAATTGTTTCCCATTGTTATGTTGTAAGAACCATTGTCTTCTTATTAATTTCTGGTATATCTTTGCCGTTACTTTCCTTTGCCTTGCTTTCTTCCTGTCAAATTAATAAAGTGATAAAATAAAATAGACTGATGACGTAGTTATGGTTACTGTCTATTGAGTATTCGAGAGCATTGTTGGAGTGATGATGATGATCGACAGTACGTGTGACATTTAATTAATGTGAAATGTTTGGTGCAGTCGCCAAGCGGCGGATACCCCGGTGCAATGGTGGAGAAAGAAGTAGCGGGGTGCGCGGGAGCGGATGACGCGTCAAGCGGCTACGGCAGCCCGCCTGACCCCGAGCCCGTGTGCGACGCTGCGCGATGACCGACACTGCCGCGCCGACTGCTCGCCTCGGTTGGTATTCCTACTATAAAACACACACAAGTATTCTGAAATATACATAGATCTATGACGTTACTGTGATATGATTTTGAGCGACAATCGCGACACGAAATTCCGCTCGTCGTTCTTTGTGTCCTACGTTGCCGCCACTGTCTACGTATCAGACACAATATATTACGTATCGCATCGAGTCGCATTTGTCGCTTACATAAGATCACGGGAAATATTTCTACGTGGCATTGCAAACAACACACCCACACTTGTGGTTTTTATTACTTACCCTGCGTAACATTTATAAAGCATTGATATCAGTGTACTTATGATATTATGTATTAGTATACAATCTTCAGTTTGTCAGCTGTATACTATTACGTACCACGTAATAATACAATACTATGATAATAACAATTTGTTCTCTTCTAGGTAAAGCCTCACTGATTCCTGGCGGCGAGCTGGGGCCGCGTCTGTTCAGTCTCTAGAGCGGGACACGAAAAAACATCCGGTCAAATTTAAATATTATGTGGCGTTTTATTTTATCTAAGACCAACGGTTAAACAATCCGTATCCGGTGTGACGCTTTATTTTTGTATCATAAACTTCTTATGACGTAATAAAAATCATTCGATGGCAGCTTATTAAGAATGTATAAAGTGCAATTTAATTAGAAACGTTCATAAGCGGCGATGTGGCCCCTCGTAAGTGGTTAAGTGCAGAATTAAGTACATCGAAGAGTCTCGACGGACATATTTTAAAAGCATCGGCAGCGTACATTAGGCTAGGAGGCGGGCCGTGTATATGTGGCCACTTTACAAAATGTCCGGGATGAGACGATAACGTTGTCAGAACACGATATTTCCATTATGTATACGATTTGAGACTACATGTTAAGATAGCGCCGGTGCGTTGCAGCGCGTGGGCAGGGCAGGCCGCGATCTGCCAGCCTCTTTACTTAGGCACTCCTCGTATTTACAATAGATTAAATAATATACCTTGTATCACTTTTAGTACGAGCATCTCACAACTCACTTGCTATATATTGTACCTACAACATTGATACAACGATTCAGGTCCACACTAAAATAGTTAATTGATTAAATCGATCTCATTGTTATGAAATTGTATGTATGTATGTATGTACATTTAGTGAATGTAATATTGTTATCATACAAGGTATGAAATTTTATTGAGAATAATTTTTTTAATGGTTCTTTTATTTCTTTATTTTAATCGGTTACGTAGGTATATCGCTGTTATTTTTTTACCAAAGATAACTTCCCCGTTATTTGTATAACTTTAGTCTAAACAGATGACTTACGAATATAGTATAGTGATAAGTTTTGTGCACTTAAGACGCAAATCGGAAGTGCCACTCTATAAATATAGTTATATGATGTTAAAACGTTCTGTAAAATTATAATTTTTGCCATAGCTTTGGTGAATATTTTTGGCGCCTCCACAAATCATTGACACTTTTTCCGCTATCTTGTTTCTTTATAAAAAAAATTGTTGAAAATCTTTTAGAAATTGTGCTTAAATTTTCTAAGGTTAATAAACGTAATGTAACATATAGATTTTTACGATAAAATTGTATTTATGTATAATAAAGTTTCCGAAGAGTCGTTATAGCAATATTAGATGGATAATATTCCATCTTACACACATTACGCTATAAAGACAACAATAAAATTGAACTATCTTAAACATCGATGGAAATATTTTCAGTTTTATGTTACTCTGTAAATAAATATATTTATTTAATAATTAAACGTGTTTTTCATTTGTTCAAAACCCATCTTACTTAGTTTATGTATACAATAAAATAAAATTTATTTTGTATATATCCGGCTAGAAGAACCAAAAAGAATAGTATAAACAGATCTTATTATATTATAAATGGGAATGTTTGGATGGATGAATGGATGTTTGTTTGAAAGTATCTCCAGAACGGCTGCATGAATCTCGCCGTAATTTGGCATAGATGTAGTCTGGAAGAACACATAGGCTTAGGTACTTATTAACTTTTTCAATCTGAATAAAAACTAATTTCTAAAATTACAAATGGCAAATGTTTCGTGAGCAATGAAATGTCAATATGTTAGATGAAAGATATGCCATTATTGTCTCTGTTTACCCTCTTACTTTAACTACTACTTACTCTCTAATCCGTAGTAGAACTCGGAGATATTGGCTAAGTGTTGTTTTAAAAACGAAGTAAATAAATGAAGCAACCCAAGAAGTCCATAATCATTATGTGTACAGTTCAAGTTGTTTTAACTTCGCGTATAATTTAAGACGTGTAAACAAGCTTCACTTCGATAAGTAAAGAAAAGGTACTTACTTATTATTTAGTTCCATTAACGAAGCACTTTGCATTCGGTGGTCGATCAAATACATCAATCCATTTGTGTAAGCACTTAAACTCGTCGACTTTAAAAGAGATTTTTGGGGTTTTCGAATGAACTTAGGGCTGTTTACGTCGTGCTAATTGGCAAGTAAGGAGTCTGGACCTCACCCCGACAAACCAAAATATTTTCCAATCACTTAAAATACCGTATGCTTTGAGATAAAATCTATACGCGAACGATGGAAGTATTACGTTGACATAGATATTTGAATTCTGAAATATCGAATTATTTTATTGACATAAAAAGAGATACTTATCATAATATTTTCTATTCTTATTTATTACACTTTTATTTCAATGTTGAATCGTCAATCCAATAACACCTATTCCTTTAATTATTTAAAAAATAAACAATGCAATCTTTATTTTTGACGTAGAATCAGCACTTTGGCAAGGAAGTATCATATTAATTCAATTATTGGATACGATCGCATATAAAATATAACATTCCAAGATTCATCAGTCATTTCATTGAGAAATAACTTTATTGTCAAACAATTAACACTAGTCACAATTGATAGCTTTCTTTTAATCTTTCAATACTTATATTGTCATGTCTAATAAAATTGCGAAAGACATTGTTCTTTTTATTATGTCCTTTTACTAATATTATTACAATCAAATTAATAATTGTCTTAATTAAAAACGAATATATGTTACTATATAGTACTTATAACTGAAGCGCTTGTACCATGATGGATATTTACAGAGAAATCTTGGATATCTTCGTCGTTAACTCATGTGCCTTAACAAAGGGCTCGGAGCCTACCCAAGTTCGTGGAGACTAGGCTATAGTCAACCACACAGGTCCAGTGTAGGCTAGTTGACTTCACACATATCTTTGAATTTCGTCGCCGATATATGTACATTGCATCAACATGTTTTCTATCGCCGTAAGCTTGTCGGATAAATGCTCATATGAAATTAAAAAATGCAAAACACATGGCTATATGACGGGAATTGAACCTGCAGGTAATCGTTTTGGTCCGTTTCGGTCAGATTTTAACAAGTACGCCATTGACTCTCTCGCATCTTAGATATATTAGCGCTTAATTACATGCCCTTCATTTATATTTCATTCTCGAAAAGTCAATCTCTTTAAATTACAACACAAATGAGACACAAGTTGAGCTAAAACGTAAATTACTTTTAATTGTCAGTGCTCAGTCCGGACATGTCCATAACATGCCGACGACAAAACGCATTAACGAGCGTCGTTTAGTTGTTTGCTGCTTAAATAAGAGCAGTAATGTAATTTTAATGAGCTCACAAAAATGTGTACGCAACACATACTGCTAGTGATGCGCCATACATTTTGTGAGTATCGAAGTAATTATATTACAGATATTTTTTTTGTCTAATATTTATTGATAAATATTAGACAAAAAAACGTTTAATTTATAATAAAAATACATTGGGTACTTTAAAAATAAAATAATTACAATTGCAATATTACTAACATATTTAGACATAGTCAAAGTGTGTTTTAGTATAAAATAACGTTTTTACTAAACTTAGTATGCTAGTTCAAGAGCGGTTTAAATTGATCCACTGTGATTTTACAGTCATCGTATATCGAAAGTAAAAAATCGTACATCTCTAATAGGAACCAATAAACGCAAAAGGTAAGTACACATTTAATGATCACACACGCACACGTGTTTTGTTCTATCTTTTTTTAATGAGAATATTTTTCTGACAAACAAAAACATGCAGCTGTTGATGGAAGGGCACTTTTTATCTTTTTACCACTTGTGTTCTATTTGTAAAAGGTTATTATCGAAGAAAAGAGAAAGTACGTACGTACGTCTGCAATATGTGTATTCAAAATACGATACCAAAAGTTTGACTGAGAATCATTATTATGCTGACCTTTTTAAATTCCTTAATATTTCCGGAAACTATATTTCTCTAATAATACTACACTACTAGATCTAAGCAATATGTGTACCTTACGTATGGAAAATTTTTTAACCATGGGTTTCTGAAACCAAAATCTCTGTATAAAACATATCGTTACTTTGGCAAAATAGAGTTAGATATGTTTTTAGCTGAGATTTGGGTTCCAGAATCCCACGGTAAAATGTTTTTTGATGTGAAGTATATTCTTGTTATTTCAACGTTCACGTCGTGTTTGTCCTTAAAAAATGCTATACACGTTTTACAACGAAATAATGCTCGCAAGCGATATTTTAAGGGCTCATTTGTAACAAACAAGTTTTAAAGCTGGTTAATTATAGGCCGAGCGCGCTCCCAAAAGAATTTGCTCGCAGAAAGAATAGAATTCGCTTGAGTTATTGTGAGCCGCGAAGCGCACGCTCTGCCGTGAAAACTCACTTTAACTTTTTTAATTAAATTTCGTTTTTTTATTTCTCCCCGCCGCGCCGCTGCCTTTCCGACGTATCTTGTCGCGAAGCTTTATTCCAAACGCCGTATTAATTAGTCTATACTTATTGCAATAAAAAAAGAACTAAAGAAATATTAGTCGCAAAGAGGCACCTATTTATATGTCTAAGCTTTCCTGCAAATCACATGATCTGAATCGAATTAAATTAATCAAGGACAATTGATTGTCTTTATGCTTACATGAATATTTACGACTCGGCGACATAAATTTCATT